CTTCAAAACAAACCAGGCAAAAATAATTTCAAAAAGTCGTTATGTGACGACGAGTTCAAGTTCTTGCTAGACATTTATAAAAGAACTAGCTGTTCCCGCGACGTCGTCCGTGTGTAAATTAACTTTATTTTTCTAAAATAAAAGTAGCCTAAGTTATTACATCAGCTACCTGCCAAAAAAAGTCCCGTCTAAATGGGTCCAGCCGACAGACAGACACAAAATTGTAAAACGTGTTATTTTAGTGTGTGTACCGTATTTATATTCATATGCATGTGGTAACAAACGGTTATTTCAATATTACGAACAGATACTCCAATCTTATTTATATGTATGGATTAACAAAAACAAACAAATTGACCATAGTCGGTAAGCGTTTGTTAAGACTGATTTTCAGGCGAGAGTAGAGTAGCTATCGGTTATCGTTTGGTAGTGGAGTAGGGACTAGACTAGACTAGGGGGCCCCAATCCCCAATCCCCAATCATCAATATATTAATTACAATTAATAGTCACACAGTGGACTAAATTCGACCATAATAAAAAGTACAATAAGATCAACCAGCAACTAATATATGACAGTGACTGACTGCCTAGATGGTCTAGCGATTAAGCACACCGCTTTACTTCCGATGGTCGCAGCTTCGGTCCTCGCACGGTGCAAACATTCATGGGTATGATGGTGCTTACCACAGTAGTGAAATCAGCTTGTTAATATAGAGTGACGGAATTTTACTTTTCGTATATTTAACAGAAAATCATTTCATTTGTAACACATATTACATTTTGCCGCGCACAACCACATTGTGGAATCGCCTTCCCGCAATAGTATTTCCGAACCGATACGATATTGAAACCTTCAAGAAAAGAACTTATTCCTTCTTAAAAGGCCGGCAACGGACTTACAATTGCCCTGGTGTTGCGGGTGCTCATGGGCGACGGTAATCACTTACCATCAGGTGAGCCGTAAGCTCGTTTGTCTACTGTGCTACAAAAACAAAAATTACGGAACTGTATAAAAATTTATTAATAAACCGTTAGGCAGTATAAAATTTCAGATTAATCGATCAAGAAAAACTGCGTTAGTTTTTCATTCAGTCCCAAGATATGGTATGAATAAACATATAAACGTGCAAGAAAAACTTATATGTACGTTTAATTCGACTAATGAAATAGAGTAATTTAGAAATTGAGTTTACAATCGATTCCACATATATATATATATATATATATATATTCATCAGTACTAACTAGGTATGTCCTATCCATTACACACACTCTATAAAAAAAATATCTTCACATAAAAAAATGTCATCGAAATCATTCAAAATAAATTGTCTCTCACATTTGCAATCTAAACATACAGTTTCAAAATCAATGAACACATTCTTCAAGTGTTTATACATATTCCTCAATTTGGATTACGGTTTTGTGAATAGTAGTTCCTGTAGATTTAAATGGCTTGTAAAATCCTATACTTTCACGTATTGTTTTGTGTTTTCTTTAATATATACGATCATAGTTAAATCCCTCGATGACGATATCGTCGTCGTAATAATTTGGGAAACGATATATATCTTCCATTACTTTCTTTATATTGTGGTACTCTCTTGTTGCGAGAATACATTTTATAATCTCCAAAACGATTTATTAGCTGTAGATTTTCAATTAAATATTGATAGTGCTTCGTATGCCATTGAAAAGAAAATGATTTTCACTTTCTGTATTATAAGCTTTAGTAGATTGTATTATATGTATAATATTTTGTTGTCCGAGCCTTCCATCGTTAGTATGTTCCGAAGGATATTGTTTATTCCATTAACGTTGAGTCTGGATACTGTGTCACTTGTACACTTCTTTGTCGGCTATTCTGTTTACTGTAGAATGAAAAGATTCAATAGTTTTATTAAAGGAAGCAACATTAGTGATATAATTTTTTATCACCGCATTTATATGGCTATTGTTGCCACAACGGAAAAAGCAATGAAAACGTGCAAAATAGTGGTGAGTGAAATACTTAATAATAATAGTTAGTATCTAAATTCTTTACACACCCTCTCTCCTATAGACACACACACACACAGAGGTTTCACGCAGACTCACACACACACACACGCATATAATTAACTATATTATATACCACACTTAGCGACAAATTATACAACTTTATCTGACAAAAATATTTATTAGATTTTTTACATAACACAGTAAGTCCTCGGAGGGAGCCTGGAGATCTGTAGTGCAGGTTTCGACTTAGTTCAGACTCCAGACTCTCACAAGGAATAGATTCTATGATTAAATACATACTTTTGTTACTTTGTTTAATATTGTAGGTTTCCTTGTGAGCAGTAAATAAAGATTATTATTACTTAATAATAATAACATATAAAAGAGCGGTAACTGAATGGTATACGTAGTTCTGGACTAGACCTAAAAATATAAAAGATCTTTTAAACGCGAAAGTTTGTAAGTATGTACTATCTGTCTGTCTGTCTGTTTGTTCCGGCTAATCTCTGAAATGGCTGGACCGATTTTGACGGGTATTTTTTTTGGCAGGTAGCTGATGTAATAAGGAGTAACTTAGGCTACTTTTATTTTAGAAAAATAAAGTTTTATTCCACGCGGACGAAGTCGCGGGAAGAGCTAGTAGGCTATAAATTTCATGAGGGTGACTCTCGGCACAGATAGTAAACTATATATAAGTGTTTAAAGTCTATGCAGAAATTTCATACTTTTCCGTCCGTGCAATTTTTTAAAAAGCACCACTAAGATTTTGTTTCACGTATTAAAATAATGATCATTACATAGTATAAAACAAAGTCGCTGTCGCTGTCTGTCCCTATGTATGCTTAAATCTTAAAAACTACGCAACGGATTTTGAAGCGGTTTTTTTGTAATAGATAGAGTAATTCAAGAGGAAGGTTTATATATATATAATACATGTACACCCGTGCGAAGCTAGGCCGAGTAGCTAGTATATAATAATCTGTTTATATTTTATACAGATAGAGCAAGAGCCTCGACGGCCAGACATACGTCATTTTAGTAAACGTGAAAGTTCTTGTATGTATGTCCCCAACACAGGTAAGAACGATCCCCAAACATGAAACCTGGATCGTGGTTCCTTTGGCAGGTAACAGGTAACAAAGGTGTAAAAAATTTCATATCAAATTCGTTATTTTAAGAAACTCCATATTTTCATATATTGTTCGTAGCATTATTATAACTTGCGCTGCTCATTGCCAGACACTTAGTGTGGTTACAACCCCCCGCCGGACCCCCCTAAACTATACTATTTTAGAAATAAACTTACGTCATTTTAATAAAGCTGAACTTTATATATATTATTGAGAGAACTATTAAACTGAGTTTCCTAAATTGCCAGACAGTTTTCTTGGTTCCTTATCCTACCAGATTCATTGAAACCGTATATTGGGTAACAATGGTGTATACAATTTCATATCAAATTCGTTATTTTAAGATGCTCCATTTTTTCACATATTGCTCGTAACAGTATTATACTTATACTATTATAACTTGCTCTGCTCGTTGCCAGACCCTTAGTGTGGTTCCAACCCCCCGCCGGACCCCCCTAAACTATACTATTTTATAAATAGTAGTGGTTCGACAACGAGTAGAGCAAGTTATAATACTGTTACGAGCAATATGTGAAAAAATGGAGCATCTTAAAATAACGAATTTGATATGAAATTTTTTACACCTTTGTTACCTGTTACCTGCCAAAGGAACCACGATCCAGGTTTCATGTTTGGGGATCGTTCTTACCTGTGTTGGGGACACACATACAAGATCTTTCACGTTTACTAAAATGACGTATGTCTGGCAGTCGTGGGCTCTTGGGCTAAGATATTTATATTTTGTTGTAGTTTGGAATAGCTATTGTACATACTGTACCGTCTGCAGTTTTATCGTTATTTTATCTTCTAATAACATTCTACGGGAAGAATAACACAGTTCCAGTAAGTATTTTAATATGGATTTCTCGAAGTTGAGTACCTTTTAATTTTACTGGAACATGATGATGCGGCTCGAATGAATATATGGTTGGTAATAATGGCTTCAGCAGATTACAGGGTTACAAGGATCAATTTATTGGGTAAATTATTCTTATAAAATTACCTGTACCGGGAAACGTTGTTTTGCCATATACCTAAATTAAAATCGCTATAAAAAATAGGTGTTGATAATGTTGATGAAAATTAGGGTTGTATGTATTTTGTATTAACACATTATAAAAAATATAAGAAATATATGTCCAAAAATAAAAAAATTCTGGGCATGGACAACCCTTAGCACATAGTGATATGAAAATTAGATAGTATAGACTGAATATGCATATAAAATTTCATAAAAATCGGTCAAGCCGTATCGGAGGTGTGTGGTAACTAACATTGTGATACGAGAATTTTATATATAAGATTACAAATTTGGTTGAGTGAATAAAAGTTCATTGCCTAGATCGATTAGATTTTTAAGTCGTCGTTACGTAGCGAATTTAAATTTCTTACTTTTTTTTAAAGGCCAGTTTATTTACAATGTATATTTATATAGGTGTCTATGTCTAACATTAAATGAAAATCCCGTGCATGAACAACTATTGCCATGCACGCTCGTCATTCAAGTAATCGTTTAAGTGAGTAATACTATTAGGCTTTGCTCAGTAAATATGATTTAACAGATGTTTTGAATTGATCAGTTTAATACAAACTCTGCTTAGCTTGAGACTATATGGCCATATTATTATTATGTTAAATGGATTTCCCTTGGGTTTAAAAAAAAAACTTATTTTAATTAAACAACGCTCGAAGCCGTTTATGACCGAGAGTGAATACAGACTGACTTGGTATCTATCTTATCCCACTTCCAAGCGAGCCAGACCCTGACCCGGCAAGGTGTAGTCGCCAGGACAGCACTATAGGCGGAGTATAACAAATCGTTATCATTCCAGATGACTTTCAGCAACTTCATGTCTTCACACGTAACAATGGTTCAGAGTATTATTACATTTCTTGCACCAGCTTGTTCTGCTGGTATGCTTTCATCAGAATGTGATAGTCTGAAATTAACTCTGGAAGATAAATTAATGGACGAAAGGGGTAAGTATTAAATATTATAATCCAGTGAATATAAATTTACAAAAAACTTCAGACTAATGTTTTTTTTTATTTAAATAAAATTATTATATATACAAAAATTTTAAACTATGTATATTATATATAAAACATATAGATAATAGTGACCCGCCCGAAACACTGATGCATCTAACAATCTTCGACTTTCAGGGCTTTTTTGTAGTATGCAACCATTTATTATGCATAAAAACCTTCCTTTTGAATCACTCTATCTATTACTGAGAACTACGTTTAAATCTGTTGCGTAATTAAAAAGATCTAAGCGTACAGACAGTGTAGTTTCGTTTATATACTACATGAAGATTTTACAAGAGATTCTAATTTACTCAGACGTTATAAAGAAATTATTATTTTTAAACTTTCGCATTTAATATACATTATTTAAATTATTAACCGTCGAGAGAGGTAAATATCTTTATTTGCCATAAAATTATTCGTTATTAAATTATTAACCGGGTCTAACCCGGTTAATAATTTAAGTAAAGATATTATTGTTTCAGATCAGAAGATATCTGCAGATATATTAAGACTTGTACGGTACATCGAAGCTCGCCCGTGCAAATTCACAATTTGCAATGTTCTGCGCATCGACTGGACATTACCCGTGATCATTCTGAACGTCTGCTTTACTTATCTGATCGTTATTGTACAATTTTCGAATGTATATAGTGCATAAATAAAAAATATATTTAGTGCTAGATGCTTCGTAATTTTATTTTTCTAAAATAAATTTTTTTTTTTAAATATAATAAGCTTAAGTTACGCCTTATTACATCAGTTACCTGCCAAGGAAAATTCCAACAAATTCTGTCCATTCATTTCAGAGATTAACCGGAATAAATAGACAGACAGACCGACAAAACGTGTAAAAAAAATTATTTTGGTGTATGTACTGTATGTATTCATATGTATGGAGTATTTTTACTACATACGTATGAATATACCATCGTTGGCTGCACCAACCCCAGCGCCCTACAGATCGATACAAACAATCATAATAATCAATACAAATGTTTGTTAGGAATTGAATGAATGCGAGGAATAGAACCTGTGGTCATCGGAAGTAGGTGCCATACCGCTAGAACATCAATGACATCAGAGTTACGTAAACGAAGTCGTGACTTCGAATTAGTATGCTATATTTATTACTTAATGTCCTTGTCAAGTTGAAACTGAAATGTGTTAATGGATTACATTGAGCAAAGAAACTAAAGCTACTTCCATACCTATTAAATTAAATTAGTCAGTATTACAGCATTCCTCAATGTATCTTCATATCGATCAACCCATCAATTTAAATTGTTTCATTTAATTTCGTTACCATTAGCATGTGTGAGACTACAAATATCGAATGTGGAAATTGACCATCGCTACTAAAAGAGTTACGACCTTCTCTGTTGGTAACCTAATTCCGACTGTCATTGAGTCTACACCCACATTGAGACCTCTGAACGACGCATCATCAGGCTTTGAATAGAGTTCGGATATAGCTTGAACGACTATTGCTGAGTATTCGGAGACCAAACTTCTAGAAAGTTTCTGTTTTAAAGCAATGTCTCAACAACTACAAATGAGTTTTCTCTCGGAATCACAATTCAAACGTTGTCCAATTTCAAAATCTATAATTGTATTCTTTAAGTGTTTATATATATTGTTAAATTTGGACTTTGGATTTGTGGATATTAGATCTGCTACATTGAAATGGGTTGCCAAATTCTACAAATTCATTCACTGTTTAGCAATCTACATATTATGTATCATCACTGCTTCTTTCTACGACTACGAAATGTTGTATTTAATTTGGGATCATTTCTATATATTGGAATATATATCTTTTGTTGTGATACTATCGTTATTTCGCAACAATTCATTTTATGTCCTTCAAAAAGATTTACACGTTATCGATAGAGTCTTCAACATCAGTAGTAGCTCCTATCACATGGAAAAGAAGATTTTTATTACCAGTCTATTGATTACTTCCTTCAGATTTCTACCTCTTCTATACCACACAATTATTAATAAACCCACTTTTAATTCAATCTGTAGAATCATTATATTTAACATAATGACTTGGAGTGTAGATTTGACACAAATAATTGTTTTCTTCAGTTTCTATTCTATTTTCTGTCGGACGAATACTTTCGTGAAGTTCATTAAAGATAACGATATTTCTAATGTAATTGATTATCAAAGTATATATATCACTTTTATCGATGCAATTGAAAGAGCTATGACAACTAGCAAATATGTGGTAAGTGATATTTGATTTACTAAAGCTTAATTTTTGTTAAATCTAAATTAGTTTATTACTACAGATGGTGCCTCTAATATTATTCATATGTATCTACTTCCATTTTTTCATGAAGTCGTGGAGTAGTCAATGTGTCACCACTCTTTTGTCTCCCTAGGGTGGTGTAATATCAGACTAGGATTAGGGTTGTCAATTTGATATGTCGAGTTGTTTGGTGTCTAGTACCATAAACGAGAACATTATCTTCATTCATTTTTCTTACGAGATGTAACGTACGGAAATTTATACGTAGCAAAGAGTTTTTACTACGTTTTGGGATGTCGACAATCTATTAGGGTAGAGAGCCAAATTGATAGAAGTTACCAGATTTATGTCTTTTACGATGCAAATAAAAGTTTAGTTTGGCAACCTTGAATAATTCGAAATGAAACATTGAACCAACTGTAGACTATCATGATATAAATGACGTCCACCGTTTACCATCAGGTGGACCATCAATTTGTTTGTCATAGCAATTACATAAAAAACTTTCATTTTCTTTATAGATTGGAATAGCGCTTGCGTGTAATATGCCGAATATGATGCTTGCAGTATACCATGGTCTGAAATCACTGCAAGATAAAACTAGTAGTACTATGATACCGGTAAGTAAAATATACTGTTTTAAATTTGACGCGGTCATTTGATATACTTTTAATTAGTAAAAATCACGGACTATATTAACCTGATTTAGTAACCAGTTTACTCGTGATCATGGCGGTTGAAACACTGCCGAAATATCGGGAACTCAGCAAATAAATACTAAACGTGGTAAGAGCCCGTGATTTTTACTAATTATGGTCAGTAAAATGACTTAAATAACTGTTTCTGTGTAACAAGAAGTAGATAACTCTACGAATACAATCCCAGGTAGGACATTAATAAATATCATCGTGGTGATCAGATACAGCTGCATACTGTTTCTTGTGATACTCCCTGGGAAATTTCTCTCTCTTCTCTTTCAACATCCATTAATCCATTGCATTAATTGCATAACTTTGCACTTTATTTGACCTGCGGCGCATTTTGTCCAGGTCAATCCTTCCGTCTTTTTGATCTGCCAGTTGATCTGCCTACGCTTCTGCGTTCCATCCTAGGTTGCCATATTAGCGATCTGTATTGCCATCTGTCCCTGGAATTTAAATTAATTTAGAAGATTATTTACACTATTTATAAATGAAAATTAAAACAAGATTAGTGTTTTGAATAATTGAGTGTCTACAAATCTTATTCGTTTCTTTTATTTTATTTTGTTTCTTTTATTCGTGTGCTGACCAATGTTGTTGCGTATTTACTTTGCATCTTTTTTCTTCATTATACTGTACCTTGTGTGTGTGTTCATTTAAAGCAAATAAAAGTTTTATCTATCTGTTTATCTTTTTCTTAATCTATTTCATGGTAGCTTACAGTTTTAGCAGCTTCTTTTCCATCGAACGAAACGTTAATATTACGAGGTCCATTCAGTACTATTATAATACTCATAACATTATTTTGATTGAATAAATAATTAATCTTGTTTTAGATGAATTTTTTCAGTTTATTAACGTTGTACATGCCCATACTGCAATCAGTCATTATATTATTCGCTCCAGCATATTCTGCTGGGATGCTGTCTTCGAAATGCGATACTTTGATATTAACTCTCGAAGATAAATTATTAAAAGAAAAAGGTAAAAGTCCAACATGTATATAAATTATTATTACTTTCAAATTACTTGCATATATTGGCCTCGATGGTCTAGTGGGTTAGCACTCCGCCTTACTTTCAATGACCGCGGGTTCGATTCCTCGTACAATGCAGGCATTTGAATTCATACTTGTACTCTATGTATTGGGATCTCTGATGGGAAAATCTCAATCCAGTCCAAAACTAACTAGAGCTTATTTTGTGCGTTTTAGACGACTTATAAATATAATTAGATACTTACTTTTTTTTTGTAAATACATACATAATACACATAGTAGACCCCCATATAATACAAATGTTTGTACCGTCCTAGGAATCGAACCTCCAACCAACAGAAGTAATGCGGCGTGCTAATCCGCTCGACGGTCGAGGTTGTCATTTATTGTACTTTCAGATCCAAGAGTATGTGATGATACATTAAGACTGATCCGCTATATAGAAGCCCGTCCATTCAAGTTTACAGTATGCCAAATCCTGCCAATCGACTGGTCGCTGCCTGTCGTCATACTCAACATCTGTGTCACCTACCTCATCGTTATTGTACAGTTTACGACACGTTGAAGACTGCATTGAAAAATCTTATTTCTATAGAATAGAAATAGAATAGAATAGAAATAATCCTTATTTAAATAAACTCATTACAAGCACTTTTGAATGGTCATATTTTGATTCTACCACTCATTCGGAATGCAGATTCATCACAAGAAGAATGAGTAAGAAACTCGTGTGTTGCTCTTTTGAATAGATTTTTTATATAAATAATTACAGTATAACAAGTAAGGCATGCGATAATCAACATAGAAATCGCTACGCACTAATTTATTAGTGTAATCAGATAATAATTTCTCACATAGATACTGGCAATATATATTATTAAATAAGTTTTTAGTATACAATAAATTGAGGTACACATTATTTCTGTAGTGCTTACTGCCGTGTTTTTGTAGTGCATCTCGCATGTTCGCTCTTGCACGAATAGATGACTTTTATGCCATGGCATAAAAGTCACGGTACGGTGGTGAAATTCAGCAGCTGGTATTAATACGAGCAATTCCTCAGAACACTCCCCGTGATATTATTATTAATTTACTATATTTATTATTATTTTACTATATTTATTATCAGTCTGCTGGACAGTAGACGTCTTCCGGGCTATCGCAGCCCGGAAGACGTCTACTGTCCAGCAGACTGATAATAAATATGATTGATTTGATTGATGATGATTATCAGTCTGTATTTATTTACTTACGTATTGATGTGCGTGAACACATACAATGTCATGTATGAAACTTTGTTTGAAGCCAGGAATATCTGAAAATGTTGTTATAAAATAATATTGTAGGAGCTTGAGAGGCCAGACTTGTGGGGATAATTGAAATATAAGTAACAGGGATTTAAGGGAAAGGTACTTTTATGGGAATATTTCGTAGTTATAGAATTAACAAAAAATATATATTTAACTAGCCACTCACCTCGGCTTCGCACGGATGAACATGTATTATATATATATATATATATAAACCTTCCTCTTGAATCACTGTATCTATTTAAAAAAAAAACCGCTTCAAAATCCGCTGCGTAGTTTTAAAGATTTAAGCATACATAAGGACGGACAGACGGCGACAGCGACTTTGTTTTATACTATGATTTGAATGTAATGATTTGATTAGAATTATGCATCTCATGAGATTGAATCCTATAATATACTAGTACTACTAATGATAGGACACTTGATACGGCACGATGAATTTATGAAAGTTATTATTGAGGGAAAGATAGAAGGAAACAGGGGAGAGGAAGACCAAGGCACAGCTACATCAAGCAAATGAATCACAGAATTGGAGTCGTGTCGTATCAAGGTTTAATGAGCATTATGGAAGCTCGTGAAAAGAGGTAAGAGCTCCACCGACAAGAGCGACGCTCTTAAATTATGAATGAATGAATGAATAGACAAGTAACATAGCACTGTCTTCCTAGAAGGCGGTTGATCCTATTTGATATAAAAATGTAATAATAATAATAATAATAATAACCTTTATTTAATATTCTTTCTTACATAATATTTTTTAAATAAAAATAAAAGTATAGGTTACACCTAATACTTTACTTTAAATAACTTTACTGTAAGTATTTTTACTTAAAAGGGATCGATGACTTTGTAAAAGTGAACTGAACAACTGCAATGTCCATAACTTATTATCACCCGAGAGCAGATTACTGCACTCCGCCATAACCCCTAATCAGCAACAATGTACACAGCAAACAAAAGCAAATAGTGCAGCTTATAGAGTATCCCCCATAAAAAGCGCTGATTGCAAATGTCCATTTCCATTTGTTTGGATGCATTCAAAAACAATGTTGCCCTCGAAATCCATTAACGCAACGCCGTAACGATGGTTTAACAAATATGCACTAGCCACGGTCATATGTGAGTACAATGTGATCATACCGTGGTGAGAAACATATAGAAAAGACTTGTTGTTAAATAATATTATTGTTATAATAATAATAAAAGAGAGAAAAGAGACGAGGGTTTGCATAGAGAGGTCATAGAATGTGACAAAGGATAATGGCGAAAACCCGAATTATATATAGCCCTTCACGGGCCGTACGTTCCGTGCACTGGCTACAGTTCGGTGATCTCTTCGGAGAGACCGAGGGTTTTGTCTGTGCAATACAGGATCAGGTGGTTAAGACGAACAATTACCGAAAGCACATGTCTGAGGACATCTGTCGGGCATGTCGCCATCCCGGAGAGTCACTCAGACACGGGTTGTTACTTTTGTGCACAGACTGTGCCAAAATACTCCATGCTTACGGCCTCGCGAATGAAGCCGTATATAAATGAATAAATACCTTATATCGTGGTGAATAATAATAATCTCATGTGGGGGGTGATGTCCACGAAATCATTCCAATCACACAGTCTTATCCCAACCAGTCTATCTCAGACGGTTGGGACCGGGGCGGTTCACTCCCGGGAAAGATGCAGAAAGCGGTGCTGTTAGATTCTGCCCGCAGCTAGCTAACTGTGCTTGTTTTGCCATCTCCTCTCCTTAAGAGAGATGAGAATTTTTGGATAAAAATAGTAATAATAATAATATATATAATTGATGGTGACAACAAATATACTTTTGTACTGTGTGCTTTAAAGGTATATAAATGAATAAATAAATAATTTTTTAAATACTTGTTTTATGGGTACTAGATAATTGATACATATACGCAGTTTTTTTTAAATACATACATATTAGGAAACACTCAGACCGATACAAACAATCATACTCATGAATACAAATGTTTGTGCCGTGCGAGGAATCGAACGCGCGACCATCGGTCGTAAAGCGGTGTGTCTACCACACCGCTTTACGACACCGCTAGAAATATTTCAGTGAGTGGGTTACCTTGTTCATATCGGACATTCAAGATACTTACTAAGCAAACAATTATATAATAAGTATAAATTATTGTTAAATAATATTACTTATTTTATAGTAGATGTGTTATTATAGTACATTTAAAAGAGCAAAACTTAGTTTTTCTCATTTAAAGTAGTTCTTACGAAATATTGCTTACTTTTAAAAGAAAAGCGTGCATGGCGTGTAATGTCCTTGTATCGAATATTCAAGACTAGCTGTACCCGCGACTTCGTTCGCGTGGAATTTAACTTCAATTTTCTAAAATAAAAGTACCTGCCTAAAAAAGTTCCGTCTAAATCGGTCCAGCCATTTCAGAGATTAGCGGGAACAAACAGTCAGACAAACAGATAAAAATTATAAAAAACGTTATTTTGGTATATGTACCGTATTTATAATCTTATGCATGTAGTAAAAAACGGTTATTTCAATATTACAAACAGACACTTAGATTTTATTTATATGTATAGACAAAGCAAACATCAATAATCAATATACAACATAAAAAAACACAATAACGTCAATAATCATATAGATGGTAATGAATTACCAAACGCAAATACAAATATCATTAATAAAATATTCACTTAAAGGTATGCTATTTATATTATGAGGCCATTTCACAAAAATATTTCATGTTGTACAGACAGTTATGTCTTACGAAGAATGGAAAGGAGAAAGATATATAGAAAGCAAGAAAGAATAAATATTCCCAGTGCTAGTTTATTTTAAAGATACCAATGGACTAACGAAATGCTGAAATTAATTACTACTAAAGGAAATACATAAAATAAAATGTAAAAATGTAAATGTAAATTGAACTCCAGTCCCTGCAATTAGCTTGTCATTTGGGCCGTTGTACCTGTAGAGCCAGACTACTAAAGTAGCCAGCCAAGCTCATCCCGAAAGCGCAGAAGACTCCTAGTATCTTCACAGGCTTCACGAGCGACCTCACCGTTCCGAGGATTTGTTTTCGTTGTGGCCACTGCAAGCACTCCAGGATTACGTGAGCAGCCGTTTCTTCGGCTTCAAATCAGCCCCGACAGTTTGTTTACGGGACAGTGACCCGTTATTGTCCCTATCATTATTTTGAGGTTATGTCTATCTAGATATAGTAGGCGTTTTGTCAATCGATGGTTCGGAATTGCCACTTTTGTTTGTTTGCAGTGGTAGTCAATACGTAAACTAAAATACATAAAAAAAATATTCATTCATTCATAATTTAAGAGCTGTGCTCTTGTCGGTGGAGCTCCCGCCACCTTCCACGATCTTCCATCAGTCCTTTTAGCTGTTGATACGACACGACTCCAACTTTTTCTTTAACTTGCTTGATATAGCTGTGTCTCGGTCTTCCCCTTCCTCTCTTTCCATCTATTTTTCCTTCAATAATGTTGTTAATTAGTTCGTCGTGTCGTATCAAGGGGCCCAACATTTTTCCCCGTTTTTAAAAAAAATATAAGTATTACAAATGCCAGCATATCCTACGTAAATTGCAAGTGATTTTCGATATCACCACTGCATATATAAAGAGACAAATGTCCCCAAAACGTCTTAAGATTAACTTCCTTTCGCAATCACAGTTCAAACGTCATTCAATATCAAAAACAACAATCATATTTTTCAAATGCTTGCACATATTACTAAACCTAAACTTCGGTTTTATAAAAAGTAAGGATATAAAAACAAAATGGTTTCTAAATTGTTATACAATATTATATTGTTGCGCTACATATTTTATATATATAAATATAACTCCAATAAGAGAATTAAAACTATTCTATGTAATTTGGGATCACATTTATATACTTGAGTATTTCTCGTTTGTTATAACACTTTTATATTTTCGAAATAACACTTTTTATATTCTTCAAAATGAATTACTTGATATAGATGTAGCGCTGAACGCTGATAGTACTTCATATCGCATTGAAATAAAAGTAATATGCACAATAATATATATTATAATACATGCAGTTTCGGTTAACATAGTAGGCTATATATTACTATATCAACATTATATTACTATGTTGTTTAGAGCGGCGATATTTGTATTATTCACAATAGGTATAGATATAACGTTAGCGGTGCATTTTTTTCTATTCTATTCCATTAATTCTAGAATTAAAAGTTTCACTCAACTTATTAGGAGTAATAATAATTCAGACGTAATTAATTATCAGTATATATATATATCTATCATTGAATCGACCGAGAAAGCAATGAAAACCTGCAAATGCATAGTAAGTGTATTTTATTATTCTTATTTTTCATTCATATAGTTTTTTTTTCGGACTACTCTAATGCTGTTGGCCGCAGCTGGCCTTTACAGCTTCACCGGACGATAGGGGGCGAGTGTAGATGGCACTCCAAACCCGAGAAGGGACTTATGGAGCGGCTGAAAGCCAACTTTACAGCTTCACCGGACGATTTCTAAGTATAGTATGACATACTCATAGTTTAAATATATATAACTCAAAGGTGACTGACATAGTGACCTATCAACGCACAGCCCAAACCACTAGACGGATCGGCCTGAAATTTGGCATGCAGGTAGGTGTTATGACGTAGGCATCCGCTAAGAAGGTATTTTGATTAATTCTATCCCCAAGGGGATAAAACAGGGGATGAAACTTTGTCAATTTAAACCGATAGGGATGAGACTTTGCATGCATAAACCTACTATAACGTAGGCATCCCCTAAGAAAGGATTTTGATAAATTCCATCCCTAAGGGGATAAATTAACGCGAGCGAAACCGCGGGCAAAAGCTAGTATAAAATAAAGTCGCTTTCAAAGTTTATTGTCTTAGATCTTTTGAACTACGCAACGGATTTTAATGCAGTTTGTAGTTATAGATAGAGTGATACAAGAGCAAAGCTTATATGTATATGTACTGAGCGAAACCGAGGTGATTAGCTGGTCGTTTGTAAGTTAATATCGTATTTAACAATATGTTTTGTGAACATATATTATAACATCCAACTTAAAAAATGAGAACACTGAAAGTTCAAATTTTTTTTGTTGCAGATTGGTTTAGCTCTTACTTTTAGCGTTCCAAGTATGATGCTGTCGGTTTATTACTTTCTAGACGTACATATAATTAATCATACTAATGTGGTGAGTTTATTTATTAATGTTACTAGTAACGCGGTTCAATGGGTACCGTTATATATGTATATGTATATATTTGACGGCCTCGGTGAGCGACCGATTTAAATGAAATTTGGTACACAGATAGTCTACACCCTCAAAAAGGACATAGGTTACAGGAAGCTTCAAAATTATAATTTTTTAGGTTTTTGATTAAATATATATAAATAAATATGACTATAAAATACGGGATGAAAGTTTGTAGGGAAATTCGTCATTCATCGTCTATTCCACGCGGATGAAGATGCGGGTACAGTTAGTTAAGAATAAAATAAAGTAAATGGTATTTTTAAAGTGTTTAAAGCTGTATCAAGGTGTTAATATATATACATATATTTATGTATCATATAAATAATAGTTTTATCTTTCAATCCCAGTTCTACATATGTGTTTAAGTTAATTAAAATATATAAATATACATACTCGTATAAATAAAATTGAAGTGTCTGTTTGTAATATTGACGAGTTCGGTGGTCTATTAGCACACCGCTTTACGTCCGATGGTATTATTATTCCTCGCACGGCACAAACATTTGTATTCATGAGTATATATTTTTGTATCATATCTGGGTGTTTTCTATGTATAATATGTATGTATTTACAAAAAAAATCTATGTACATATATGTATCAGTTATCTAGTACCCATAACACAAGCTTTAGCTAGCTTAACTTGGCTCTTGATGGCGCTGTGTGAATTGTTAATTATTATATATTATTATTATAATAACCGTTTTTTACTACATGTATATGAATATAAATACGGTACATCTTTTTTTACAATTTTTGTCTGTCTGTCTGTTTGTTCCGGCTAATCTCTGAAATGGCTGTACCGATTTTGACGGGACTTTTTTTGGCAGGTAACTAATGTAATAAGGAATAACTTAGGCTACTTTTATTTTAGAAAAATAAAGTTAAAGTCCACGCGGACGAAGTCACGAGTACCTACAGTTAGTATATTATAAAACAAAAATGTAATTAGTCTGTAGTCTGTATTCTATGGTAGTATATAGTCTGTGAAAATGCTGTGTTGAAATAGTGAAATAAAAATTTGTCGAAGAGAAAAAAATGAGTTTTCAAGAATCCTTCAATATGAAATTATACTTTAAAAGTGTTATTCTTTATTTTCAGTGGACTATAAGTATCGGAGATATCATTGTGACATACATACCGACACTGCAATCTATTGTATTCTTATTTGCACCAGCTTACGCTGCTGGAGTACTATCCTCAAACTGCGATAACCTGAAAATGACTCTTGAAGAGAAGCTTCTAAAGGAGAAAGGTATATACACTTACATTGCAAAATTGTAAAGTTAGTTATTATTATATTTGATGGCCTTGATAGTCTAGTGGTTTAGAATACCACCTTGCCTGATGGTCGCGGATTCGATTCCTTGCACGGTATATTTGTATTTAATTATTAATATAAAAATGTAAATTAAATTTTAATAAATATTTTCAGTGTACCAAATAAACAATTTTCTTTCTTTCTATTTATGAGTATGATGGTTTATATCGGTCTGAGTGTTTTCTATGTACATATGTATTTAAAAAAATATCTAAGTATTAATATCAGTTGACTAATAGCCATAAAACAACCTCTGCTTACCGTGTGACTAGATGGCGCTGTGTTAATTGTCCAAGGTTATTTAACATTATTATTATTATTTGTTTCGGATAAATTTATGCCGGTTAAATAACGGTTATATGTATAACATGACGGTTAGCATGATTGTTGAACCATTAGAGTACCGAGGCCGTCATAATTACGTTTCTTATATAAATAACTAGTTACTCGCCCCGGGTTCGCACGAGTGTACATGTATTATACATATAAACCTTCCTCTTGAAACATTCTATCTATTAAAAAAAAATAACTTCAAAATCCGTTGCGTAGTTTTAAAGATTTAAGCATACATAGAGACAGACAGCGACTGTTTTATACTATGTAACTAGCTACTCGCCCCGGCTATTAGCACGAGTGTACATGTATTATACATATAAACCTTCCTCTTGAAACATTCTATCTATTAAAAAAAATAACTTCAAAATCCGTTGCGTAGTTTTAAAGATTTAAGCATACATAGAGACAGACAGCGAAAGCGACTTTATTTTATACTATGTAACTAGTTGCTCCCCCGGCTTCGCACGGGTGTACATCACTATATAGTATAAAGTCGATGTCGCTGTCTGAAGGTTTATAGGTTATATAATGGAAGGTTTATATATATAATTCACTAGCTACTGGACCCGGCTAGCTACTAGCTATCTATATCTCCTATCTATTAAAAAAACCGCTTCAAAATTCGTTGCGTAGTTTTAAAGATTTAAGCATACATAGGGACAGACAGGGACAACGACTTTGTTTTATACTATGTAATGCTGTTAATGATAATGATATTCAGTTTCCTGAATTAAAATAAATAAAATACATTAATTTCAGATCAGAAAATATCAGCTAATGTATTAAGACTGATCCGCTACATAGAAGCCCGTCCGTTTAAGTTTACAGTATGCCAAATCCTGCCGATCGACTGGTCGCTGCCTGTCGTCATACTCAACATCTGTGTCACCTACCTCATTGTTATTGTACAGTTTCTGCATTTATATTAGTTTTTATGGGACATATAAACGTAATAACCTTGAGTATACAGCCGTAGAGAAGATAGAAGGTGGTATAAGAGCATTTTGCGAAGCTTTTTGTCCTTCGTGAAAAGGTTTTTTTTTTGTCAATTCACACAGCGCCATCTAGACCCAAGTTAAGCTAGCTAAAGCTTGTGTTATGGGTACCAGACAACTGATACAAATACATAGATATTTTCGTAAATACATATACAATACATATATAATACATAGAAAACACCCAGACCGATACAAACAATCATACTCATGAATACAAATGTTTGTGCCGTGCGAGGAATCGAACCCGCGGCCATTGGTCGTAAAGCGGTATGCTGGACCGCTAGACCACCGAGGCCGTCGTTTTTTTTTGATCCATATATCAAATTAATGGAAATTTTCCGCTGATTGAAGAAAAATATATTGCCTTTTATGTTGCATTTTTTTTATTGCTGTTCATTTCTTTTTATTTGTACATTATATATATTTTGTTTATTAGTTATTAAATGCCTAAGTTAGGAAGGAAAGGAAATTGGTTCTTTGTTACGGGAAGCACCGGGCGATTGCCCCATTCACCCCCTAAGGCCGCACTACCTAGTCAGGCACACAAACATTAAAAGTAGCCTAATTTACCCCTTATAACATTAGCTATCTTAGCAATTAAAAGTTCTTCACAATTAGTCCAACATTTTTAGAAATTAACAAGAACAAACAGACAGATAGATATATTTTTTTTTAATTAATATTTTGATGCAAGTACCGCATATACTTTCATATGCATTTACTGAGAAGCTGTTTATTTGAAATTACAAACAGACAATGCAATTTTATTTATTGGTATTATTCACGTATTATTCACGATTGGTTAGCGTGATTATAAGAATTTAACAGACATTACACATTAACAAACATTGCTGGTCCAACAAAAATAAATTGATTGGAAATATTAAAAAGATTTATCATTACATATGGTAGGAAATTGCGGAAAAATATAGCAAATAAGGTTTCACCACCACGCGGTAGGACGCGGTCGCTGGTTCAGAAATATGATGTTAATTCGCTGACTGATTATATTACCTGCAATATATTGGGCTCGTACTCCTGGAGACCACCTCTGAACAGCTGTCGCACAGATCACAATGATATAAGCACAAGACACAAAAATAATGTCTAAATTCGAGATTAACCTTGAGCAGCGTGCACGGCGGTTGATTGTACTAATCAGAGAGTTTTCGAAGTGAATAGATGCACAATTCCACTCGCAGTGATGCGACAGACGCGCCACTTTACAGGTACATACTTACCCGCTGAAATACAAATATACAAACCTTGACTACAAATACAACAGACCAGCGAAATAACAATATATATAATTGTTAACAATAAAAATGTTATAAATGGCGTAACCAGCATAGTATAATACAAAGTCGCTGTCGCTGTCTGTCCCTATGTAAGCTTAAAGCTTTAAAACTACGGAACCGATTTTTTTAAATAGATAGTGTGATTCAAGAGGAAGGTTTATGTATATAATACATGTACCATGCGAAGCCGGGGCGAGTAACTAACTGTATAAAAATATGCCAATGTTGAAGCCATTTCAGATATTATGTAAATTGAAACTACCTACCATTTCAGAGTGAAAGGAATTTAAGCGTACGCAGATCGTGATAGTCCACTTACATCAAAATTCTATGAATAACTGAATATGTCAAAAGGTAAACATCAATTTTATCAGGGAACTCCTTTCACTCAGCATCAGGGGGTAGCAACCCTTCACAACAGGTCTGTGATGTGTATGACGTTATGTATATACGACTGGCTCAGTGGTTTAGTGGTTTAACACATTGCTTTACTTCCAATGGTCATGGTATTGGTTCCAGCATGATACAAAAATTTGTATTTCTGAGTATGATTGTTAATATTAGTGTAGGTTATTTTTGGTGTATGTATTATGTATGAAAAATGTATTTATTATTAATCAGTTTTTAAAAACTTTTCTAGATGGCGCTCTGTAACCCTTGTGATATATTTTCTTTCTTTGTAATAATAACCCAGGATAAATTACACAAAGTTAGGTATATAATTAAAAAAAAAAATTAAAAATATTCATATTTTTTTATAAATACATACACAGTATACATAGAGAACATCCAGATCGTTACAAACTATCATACTTATGAATACAAATGTTTGCATCGTGCGAGGAATCCAACCCGCAACCATCGGAAGCAAAGCAGTGTGCTAAACCGTTAGACCACCGAGGCCTTTTTTTGTCTTTTGTAAATGATCCCTAACTTATTTTAGTATTTTGCAAAATTATAGAGTATACACATTAGCGCAACTACAAGAAACAAATTGATATAATATTACACAAATTGTATTTCATATTAAACACTAAAGTTAAAATTTACATAACATCATTTTAATCCAGTAAATTGGCCATCGATGAAATCCGCCATCGATTAAATGTAAAAGCAATTGAGGTTGTTTAATATTCAAATACGCGCATGCAAATCACAAAGGCATCATGTAAATGGTGTTACACTTGTTTATCCGGAATAATGGGGCTGTGACAAACCGACAGATAGCGCTGTAAACGACCAAAGAGGTAGGAGCGTATATAGTGTACACTATAACTAATATATTTTTTCTGCAAGTAGCTGTAGCAGTTGTAACAAACTAACGATGTTTTTGAAAGTTGCAAAGAAAACCGCAGATACAAAATATGTTCTGTCCGCAGCAATCTTAATGTATTGTTACTATTGAGAACTAAAATGTATTGCTCTATAAATTTACAGTTATATGCCATATTTGAATGAAACTTAGCTTAAGTTTAACGAAAGGTATCTTCGTATACTTGAATATTTCTAGAACAGTTCATTTCTTGCAGAATCAATTAAAATGTTTTTGGGTAGATACACATGCATTGCATGCATGTCACGTGTGTATCCATATGGATATTATTATTATTTATGTATTAATTTGTTAAATTTTTATTTCATTATGTTGTGGTATAGTTTTCTAACACGTGTGATTAGGTACGCCTGCGTAGGTACAAACTGAAAACCAGCGCTGGACGCCCATCAGTCCAGCAATAGCTGAGTTTGTACCTATTGCCAATCATATTAAATATGTATAAATGTGTAACTATGTAACTATACTGATATTGGCAATAAAAGGATTTATTAATATTATTATTCTTTATTTTTTCTCAGCTATTGCTGGTTTTCTCCACACTTACGGGCCGAAACCAAGTAAGTGCAGAGTGTGTGTATGTGTGTGTGCGCGTGTATGTATGCGTGAGTGTGTGTGTAGTTATTGTGTGCCTGGTGTGACTGGTGTTATATCATTTTCATCGATTTCGAGAAATTATTATTATTAAGAAGAACTGGCAAGAAACTCAACTGTCTTTCTTTAAAAGCCTGTTGTTAATATTGTTTACTTAGACAGGAGTCTATGTTAAACATTAAAAGAAAATTATCATAAAATTTGCCATGCATGTTTGTCGTTTAGGTTATCATTTAGGCCTGCTCAATAAATATGTTATAAATTTATTTATACATATAAATACCTACAAAACACCGAGATCTACACAAATATTGATACTCATTAATACAAATGTAAGTATTGTTCAGGGTTCGAACCCATAACTATTCTGTAAAT